ATGGTTTCGAGCACAGCAACTATCTCGTTAACTTTTGCACGGTCCAGTGGCCCGAAAAAACATTTGCAGCGTCCGAGGCAAAAAGTGCGCCCTACGCTTGCGGGCCTTCTGAGGGTATATCGAATTTCAACGGAAGTTTTTGCTTCATGATGCTCTCAGTACCAATGTACTAGGGGAGTAGTAGGTTCACACCGTTTGTTTTCACTAATCGGTCCGTGCCTGGTCTGGTTTGTGTTGGGACATAACAATGTATCACTTGAAAGCGATTTGTCAGACCAACTTCTGGCACATTTTGGCTTGGGGGGGCCTTTGGCTGGTTCCAGTCTATCACTTGCGATGGCTCCTGTCGAGACCCCTAATGTCCTGTAAAGCGCAATAAGCATAAGCTTCATTTGCACTTGACATGAGTGTACACGTCTCACCGAAGTGAGACGGGTAATCTGACAGGGACCAGAAAATGAAACTAGCGGAAGTGCAAAGTGTCTCCCACCCCTCCCCGAAACTCCCGAATTTTCTCTCAAGTTGGGCCTTGGAAAAAATGCGAGGTGCTTTCCTTTGTTACAAACTCCCTTCTTATTTTTATAGTGAGCTTGGAATGTGATATCCCATTAGCACATGTTCCACAGGCAAAAATTCATGCTGTGCAGACTTATATCAATTTATCTGATGGTGACAACTTGTGAGTCGCGTTTCTGGTGGTGGGAAGGGGAGGGGGGAAATGGCTCTCTCGTCTGTAAGGCCTTTTCCGTAGAAGGACCCCATTTTCTTGACTGCATTGGACAATATGATGGCTATGGCAACAGTACTGTTCTCCAACACTTGTGAATCGTCGTCCCAATCCCGTCAAAAAGTCGACCAGAGCGGCATGTCGCCTTGGTCGAAATTATTATTCTTGATGGCGGGTACGATGGCTGGGGGCGGGCGGTCAATGTTAACGTCTTCGGTGGAAGGAGAGCTATGAACTATATGCAGTTCGACACATTCACTGCGTCTTTTCGCTACAAAGGGGTCGAAGTAAGCGCGCCCGGTTTCGCCCAGCCACCGTGCCCACTCGCTTTTTGACACGCTTGCGAATATGCCGATTTTTCGGCCCAGATGTGGCACGCCCTGAAGGGGCACAGATGGGACTTTCTTCTAGCCCAGTTTCTTGTGATTTTGGGCGAAGGGTGCCAAAAGTGCTTTTTTGACGTCTGAGTTATTTTGAAGGCCAGAATTTAGGCCAAACATTTATTATTTAATCAGGCTTGGCAACAGTCTGGCAGGTTTTTTCAGAAGTAACTTTCTCTCGAATAAGAATCACTGCCTGGTCTTGCAATATCGCCACAGAAAAAACGACCAACAATGGGCTTGGGGGAGAGCACTCAGCTGGTCTGCATCGTATCACTTCCAGATGGCACCTATTTCGAGACGTTAATGTCCTGAAAGCTTGGCAAATAAGCCTCATTTTCACTTGACAGGAGTCTACAGGTTTTAACCTCAGGTGAGGCGTGTAATTTGACAGAGACTTTCAGAAGAAACCAGTAGGAGTACTGCCTCCCCCCTCTAAGCCGACATTGCTCGAATAAGAACATTTCTAATGCGGTGTTTTCAGAAGACTCATACCGAGAACCCTGCAGCGGATTTCTGATCTCTTCCCGTCACATTCTTACAGCAGCACATTGTGCAACAAATTTTGACCACGACTTGGCGGAATTGGAGTGTCTAGGAGGAATAAGTGATTACGAACCTTCGACAAGTGTGCCAAAGGATTTCATCGTTTATGTCGGGACCCGTTGCAATCCTCCCGAAAATTGTAAAACGACATACCCAGTGACCAAGGTTTGGTTATTACTAGCATCTCTTTTGAGTTTTCGATAACGTTCTTCAGTTGAACTCAGTTTTTCAGGTTATTCTCGATAGCAAGTGGAAACGGTGCGTAAAAGGAAAGGACGATGAATTCATGGTTAATAAAAACGACTTTGCAATCCTGGAACTGAAAAATGATGTCAGCACAAAGGATGCCATTCCAATTTGTCTACCAAACAGTCAGACTGCATTGGCAAAACATCTTCAAGTAACCGGAAGTGGATGGGAAAAAGGTAGATTTGGCAAATGATGCGAAAAAAGGCTGAAAAGTTCTTTGTTCATTAATTTATCGCTAATATTTTTATACTAGCGATAAATTATGTAACATACATTATTATAATTTTACCATTTTAGTTCATAGTCAACACTTTTCGAAGTAGAACCCAAGACGCTGTGTTCGGCTGGGGGGGGTCGTTTCGCACATTCGCTTAGTTCATGTTGTTAGATACCTATAAACAGCACATTTCACCTTGGCAAAACCTGTAGTCTCTTGTCAAGCGTAAACGAAGCTGTCATGCTATTGCATAGCTTTGCAGGAATTCACGGGCTTATACAGTAGAAATACCCAGTGATGAGTGCCCCCCCCGTGCCGGCCACACTTACTGATATTGAACCAAATGTAACACATTGTTGCTCTGTCGGTACGTAAAGTCATTCTCATTGCAAACGAGGGGGCGTGTGAACAGGCGTAATTGGAGCGTTGCAAGGTATGTACTCATATATCCATGCAGCACCGCAGCCGCTTCATATCAATCCCTTCGCTTCATATTGTACTTCGCAAATGAAGCGATACGAGCATCAAATCAGTCAAACTTTTGTGGGCGGGCAGGCACAGTGGGCGTTCGGGTCTGTATGTTGTAGCTTGATAGGGCGCTGTAGGGGTGACCTCCTTGGGGAAAGAGCCGCGCAGCGCCTACTCAGAGGCGCCGAAATCTGTCATGCTGGGCGCATTAATCCCTTATGTCTCGGGAATTTATCGTGCCACGTGCCTTAAAAAAGTGGTTAAGGTAGAAATGGTAAAGATGCCATGCCCCTAGATCAGGCAATGCGTGGTGCTACAACGAAACTAGGTTTCTGACCCGCGACTCAAAATTCGAAAAGGTGCCTCGCTAACGTGGTAGCTTTTTGGTGAACTCAAAGACAGTTCCCGCGATCAAGTGGTCCGCAAAACATCTTCATGCATTTGGCATCGTTGTCCGCATTCGCAGAGAATATACCACTTCCATCACTCGGAACGGCGAGATAAAGAAGCTAGAGGAGCGTGATTGTTGCAACCATTGCAACCACTAATTAACTCCTTCACCTCTCCAGAGACAACGAATTACAAGCGGAATCGCGTTGTGTGGACACAGTGTTGCTTGGAACGCTCGCGTATAGTGACTTCCTCTGCTGTTCTGCGCGGGTATCGGTTCGCAGCTGTCGAATCCTTGTCGCTGATGGGGTTCTGCCGGACAATCTCGTGTTAAAGGGTCAAGCCCCACTGTTAAGGACGTCTCTCTCAGAGTCCATTTCTCAAGGATTTTCTTCATGCTCCTTTCTTTACTGGGCTTATTCATTTAAGCTACTGGTTCTCCTATTTTGAACCCGAACTACCCGTAATACTTGTTCGTGGAAATTCTCTTTGATGGCGAGTTTCTCACCTGCATGCCATTGCGTTTTGGAACCACTTTTGTTGATTTATACAAGTATGCTAATACCAGAAATCGATTAATTGATATTAATGAGACGCAGATTTGTTAAGAGAACTCGGAAAATCCTGGCTACAAGGTCGCGACAGTTCCAACTATCAAGGAAGACAAACGAGAAATGATCTTGGGAAAGAGTAACGATACTTCTATTTGCCCAGTGAGTAGCATTCAAATGAATTTAGTATCCTGCAACTACTCTTGTAGCCTGAATCCCACACGATATGGAAACCGCTTGGGATTCATGAAACTAGTCGTTGAGCAAGTGCTGTTCGGTCCAAAGGGTAGGGGCATTTTGCATTTTCGCTAGTTCCGTTCAACTAATAGGTCTCACTTTGGTGAGACATGTGTAATGGTTCAACTAAACCCCTTTGGTGCAGACAGAGATTTTCAAAGGTGACCTATGTAAGCTTTGCTGCATTTCACAGCCCCGTACAACCGAACAGCGCTTTTTGACCAGGGAGCAGCCGGTCCCTGTAAATCTGTGTTCCATTGTGGCTCCTTCTCAAGAGTTTCACGGTGAGCTCATTACTCCGGCGCTGTTTGTCGACGGGGGGGGGGAGGGCTAGTTCCGGTTTACAAATCTCACTCTGGTAAAACTTGTGAACGCTTGTGAAGCTGGAGCAAGATCGTCTAGCCACCAAAACGTGTCAACTCGAGAAAAGGCTACCTAGATGGGTCGGCACATCTATGGAAAGCAGAATGCCCCCCCCCCCCGTCGACAAACTGCGCCCATTTCTCCTGCCATAGTTCTCTATCCCTTGCCCTCTGCCCCGCCCTGTTGATACAAGTGTCAGCAGCAGATAAAACCTCACACCATTGACAGAACGCGCAGAGGCTACCAAGCTTTTTTCTGATTCAAGCAGAGACCGCATCCTAGTTGTAAAAGCCGGGGAGGGGTCGTATTTGGTTGATGGGGGCTGGGGTCGTACTCGG